TTTGGATTGCTGCCAGATTTCGGTGCCAATGAAAAAGCAGCTTTAAGTATCTAAGTAGAATGTTTTGTGTGAACATATGCCTCCCCATCTCTTGGTAAATCCCTAGGAGTGGGATTGCTGGCTCACACAGCAAGTGTATGTTTAACTTGGTAAGAAACTGCCAATCTGTTTTTTCCAGAGGAAATGTACCATATTGCACTCCCACTGGTAGTGGAGGAGGGTAGTGCCACATCTTCCCCTGCACTTGGCATTGGCATGATTTTTGACTTAAGCCACTCTGAGGCTCTGGTTATATTGCTGTGGTTTTAATGTATGGTTCCCCCACTGAATACTGATGTTGGATGTGTTTGTTGTGCATCTCTGTACCTCCTGGTAAAATGTCTGTTTGCATCTTCTGCTCATGTCCTCATTAGGCTGCATAAAGAAAAGTGAGCTGTATTTTTGGATGCAAGTCTTTTCTCATTTTGTATTCTGTAAATATTGGCCCTTAGTCTTTGACTTATTTTTCAGGTCTGTCTCTTTCTACTCCCCTTCCCTTTTCTTCAGTTTGGACATAGCATCTCATACAGCCCAGGCTGGATTTGAACATAGCTGAAGAGGATTTTGAATTTCTGATCCCCCCGCCTTACCTCCCCTGGGCTCATAGGCTTGTGCCACTATGTCAGATCTATGTAGTATAAGAGATTGAATCCAGGACCTCTGACATGCTAGACAAGCACACTACCGAGCTATGATCCTAGCTGCCTTTTCATTTTCTCAACAGTGCCTTTCAAAGGGAAGACAACTCCATTTGTTTACTTGTTTAGAGAAAGGGTCTCATGTAGCACAGGCTGGCCTAGAACTCGTCCTGTAGCTGGGGATGCCCTCCAGATCTCCAGATTCTAATCACTCTATCTCTTGAGTGTTGGGATTCCAGGTGTGCCGTTGTGCCTGATTTACAAAGTGTGACAGATGGAACCCAGGGCTCCTGCATGCTGCGGGGTGGGGGGTTGGGGGGATGGGGGGTGAGGGAGTGGGAGGGTGGGGAGGTGGGTGAGGAGGGTGGGGGGTGATGGAACCTAGGGCTCCTGAATGCTGTGGGGGTGGGGGGAATGGAACCCAGGGCTCCTGCATGCTACAGGGGATGGAACCCAGGGCTCCTGCATGCTGGGGGGGGGATAGAACCCAGGGCTCCTGCATGCTGCGGGGGGGGGATGGAACCCAGGGCTCCTGCATGCTGCGGGGGGTGGGGGATGGAACCCAGGGCTCCTGCATGCTGTGGACCATTCTACTAATCTACTTACAACTCCAGCCCTGAACCTTTTGTTTCCCATGGATTATGTAAAGAATCTTTATATACTGCTAGGAGACTTTCCTATTTATATATTCTTCCTGATATTTTAGACTTTTATTCCTTTTCTGTTTGTTTTGAGACAGTCTTTCTACAAAGCTCTCATTTTCTGGAACTAACTCTGTAGACCAGGCTTGCCTCAAACTCACAGAGATCTACTTGCCTCTGCCTAGAATTCAAGGCGTGTGCCACCATGGCCCGGTTTGCAGTTGAAATCTTGACCTTCCTAAATCTCTGCCCTTCTTGGATGACTTTTCCGGTCACCTGTTGATACTTTTCCCCCTTCCTCTTCCTGCCAATCCCACAGGCCCTGAAAGCTTCAGTAAAGTCATTGAGAACTCAGTACACTAAAGCCTTCTAGAACGATATCACTGGGGAGTGAGGAGAGGATGCAGCATGGAACTGGTTGTCACCTGAGTGCATTTTAAGAAAACCTACCATATACTTTTCTCAGCATAAGTAGTGTTGGGGCACACATCTCTTTATGATCCCAACACTTGGGAAGTGGTGTTAGAAGGCCCATGTGTTCTAGGCTAACTTGGGCTACATGAGACCCCATCTGAAAAAGAACGCCCCCCCAACACAGACAAAACAACAGAGAAGGAATACTGAAATGAGCAAACCATTTAAGAAAAGAAAAATGTCAAGAAAATAATCTCAAATAAAAAATAGTTCTTTCTAAGAACCATCTGTCGGTCGTAGTTTCCTTGGGCATGGCAAAGTAGTCTCACATTTAGCCTTCACTGTCTTCAGTTCACTATAGACTGATGCAAACAGCCTAGATCACAGCTGGACACTTGGACCATCAGGGTGATGTAGGAGCGCCTGGGGCAAGCCTGGCAGCACTTGGAGACAGGCTTACCTCTACCACTTGTTTATCATCTTTGTTAGATATTTCTCAGGTTCAAAGTTCCAGTCACTGTGAGCCAGCTTGAGGGGAGGAGGAGCAAACTACACTGACAGCTTTCCAGACCCTTTCTTTGGAATATACCACCCCACTCCACCTCTGCCCACCTTTTTTTGCGGGGGGGGGGGGCAGGGTCTATATATAAGCCCTGGCTGGTATGGAACTCATTATATAGTTCAGGCTAGTATCTAATTCAGAGATTCACATGCTCTGATACCTGGTGCTGGGATTAAAGTTCAGCTGCACCATACTTGCCTTCCCTCCTTTCCTTTTTTGATTTTTTTTTTTGAAACAGTTTTTCTGTAGCTTTGGAGGCTCTGTAGACTGGGCTGGCCTCAGTCTCATAGAGATCCATCTACCTCAGTCTCCCAAATGCTGGGATTAAAGATGTGTGCCACCACTGCCCAGCTACTCTCCTGCTTTCTTGAGTAAAAGTTCAAGACAGGAACCAGAGGACCAGGGAGGATGGTCATCTCTCACTTGCAACATTCAGAAAAAGGTCTGCCTGCCGTCCAGCTCAAGTTGAAGTCCCCTACGGAAGGGCTGCAGTACCTTCTGCCTAGAGCCATCCTGCCATGGAGCATGGACTCCAAAATCTAAGGGTAGGGTCTCCATGCACTCCTGGAAATAAAAAGACACTTCTGACAGTCTCATGTCCCACTACTAAGATCAGAATTCCTGACTTTGCTGTCTTCTAGTGAGTTTTTAGAAAGAAGAGCCCCAGAAATGAACTCTTTATTCTGGAAACTCTCCTCTGAAAAAGCTTTCAAGACCCCCACCCCACCCGCCCTCAAAGGTATCTCTCGACAGATGCACACATACGAAAAGACATTCTGAAAAAAGTAAATGTCCTATGGGTAAATGGTGTGACTGCAATGGGATTCCACAAGAGTAAGCACAGAAGAGTGTGTGAACTTCGATGTAGGCAATAGAACGAGAGAATTTCAAAGATACTGCTGAGTAAGAAGTGCTAGCCAGGGGCTTGGATATCTGTCCTTCAGTAGCGATGCTTGCCTACCAACAAGGCCACAAGTTCCCTCTCCACTGCAGGGAAGAAAAAGTTCCACTCTGGCCATATCACATGACCCCAGAGATAGTTCATAAAGAGACCAAGCTAACCTTTGCTGACCAAAGTTGAAGCAGAGTGATCACCTGGGGTTGGGACTGGGTTGCACCTGAATGAAATGAAAACCTTTGCACACCTTCACCTCCGTGGTGCATACAGGGCCATAACTATATGCACTAAGGTGTAAGAAGGGTTTGCATTCTACTTGTATATAAACCTACCTACCCTTTCTTAATTGGGTTTGCAGGAGGTTGTTTCTTCTTTTACCTATTCTGAGTGTATTTACCCAGTGTTTGGGAATCTATCCCAATGTTGCCATAAAGCTTGAGGAACTTTGCCTGGCGAGGGTGATGTGGGGGTCACAAACACACCAGACAGACAGAGCTTAAGTGAAAAATTTTAATTAAAAGGGAAGGAAAGAAAAAAGAGGTAAAGAGGCAGAGAGAGAGGACAGAAGAGAAGTGGGAGACAGGAAAAGTCCTGTCTGCCCCAGGGGAACTGTGGGGAAGAGGGCAGGAAAGAGAAGAGAGGGAAAAGAGAGGAGAGCAAAATAGTGCTTAAGTGGGGGGGGGTCTTTCTTTCAAAGGGGCTCATTGCACCTGCGTGCAGACTACCCAATTGTGGAACCTTGGGTTCCTGAGTGCATTCTACTAGGTGATGGGCAGGTCAGCCTAATGCCTGAATCCTCACACCCAGGACCTTTTTGCTAGGCAGGAACTGAGCTGCAGCCCTTCAGTGCTTCCCTGCCTCCCCCTCCAAAGGGACTTTTTTTCTTAATGCACCAGGGGCAAAGCCTGGAAGCATGCCAGGCAGACCCTAGAGGCCAAGGCAGCTGGCCTCGGGCCATGCCTTAACTTGCACATTCCTGGGCTTATCTCTGGCCCCTCTGCCCCCAGGAATCCCATCTTTCCTCCTTCCCTCCTAAGTAGTAGTATGCAGCTCAGACCTGGGAGGTTGTTGACCCTTGCTGACCAGTATAGCTTGGCCCTTCTGGGTGTGCCTGCTTGGAGGACATCTAGTGCTGATCAAGCTTATCTTGGTCACATAGCCTCCCTCCTTTATTTTCTCCCTTTAGATCCCAAGACTTCCTGCTATCCGCTCTCCGGTAGCTTCAGTGGGTCTCCAGTTCTGCTCTCCTCCCAGGAGCCCGTCTTGATAAGAACTTACTTTTGCCTGGGCTTGCTCTTATCTGTCCTCCACACCCCACCCCTGCCCCCACCTTTTAGCATCACCCACTGGTCCAGTTCCTTGCCGACCTGGGGCTTCGTTTAATCTTCAGACATTCCCTCAGGGTTCTTTGCCAGTGCTTGGGGGTTGAGGGCCTTGAGACACAACCGGTGCACGCTTGGAGCACAAGTGCGGAGGACGAAATCTTCCCCACCTCCCAACCTTTGACGCCAGAAGGAATGGAGCCCGGCCCAGGCACTTCGTAAGTGCGGGGTACAGGTCAGTGTGCTTTCCATCCACAGTGTGCTCCCTGGGAAGAGCGTTAGGAGCCTCATTTCTCTGAGGCAGGAGCCGCGGCACGAGGTTGGAAAGGACGCGTGTGGTTGCCTGGATCTGAACAGCAACTTCCCCGGGGAAACGCCCTATTTCGGCTGTGGGGGCCCGCGGCTCCGCCACACCCTCTCCAGAGTTCCCTCCGGCGCCCGGGCCCAGAAGGGTGCGGGGCTGGCTGGCGTCGGGGAGGGCCACTCATGGGAGGCGGCCACAAAGCCCCGCGTGGCAGAAGCGGCAGTGCGGGAGACGCGGGCCTCGAGGCGCAGCCCCCCGCGGCGCGCGCAAACTGCGCGGAACTACTTCAGCGGAGCGGCTGCGGGGCGAGAGTCCCAGTAGCGGCCGCACGGGGATCCGAGGCGAGTACGGGCCGCCACAGAGCCGCGGGGAGCCGCGGGCACGGCCACGTGCTCCCCGCCGGGCTCGCACGCTCAGACGCGCCGGGGCCGCGGGGGCCACCGGCAGGCACGCGCGCCCCCCGCGCGCACACACTCCCGGGCACGCACGCCGGCCGCCCCGCCCACCCGCCGCGCCCCGCCCTCCCGCGCGCCCCGCCACGCCCCCGCGGCGCCGGTCGTCGCCCTCCTATTGGCTGGCCGGCGCATGACGCGCGGCGCCCCGCCCCGCCCCTCGTCAGTCACTCGGCGGAGGCGGCGCTGGCGGGGACTAGTCTCGTCCGGAGACTGGCGGCGGCAGCGGCGGCGGCGGCGGCGGCCGGAGCTCGAGCCCAGCGGCGGAGGGCGGGCGGGCGGGCGGCGCGGGAGGGCGGGGGCCGCTCCGCGACGCTGCGGACCGCGCTTCTCCTCTGAGCGGCGGCGCGCGCAGCTGTGGGGCGCCGAGGGCCAGCCCGTCCATGACCATGGGCGACAAGAAGAGCCCGACCAGGTACCTGCCGGGCGCCGAGGGGGCGGAAGGGGAGGGCGGCCGCGGCGGGCGGGGACGCCGGCGACTAGGCCGGAGCGGCCGCGCGGGGGAGGCGCGCTAAGATGGAGACCCGGGGGCGGAGGGAGGCGGTGTCGCTTCGCTCGGGCCGGCGGCCGTGCGCGCCGCAGCCATGGCGGCTCCTCCTCAGCCGCCCTCCGCCGCCGCCGCTCCGCCCAGACAAAGGGAGATTTAACCAGGTGGGGCGGGCGGGAGGGCGCGAGCAGGGGCGGGCAGCGCGCGGCGCCGGCCCCCTCCGCGCCGCCGCCCGGCCGTCCCGGCTGCCCGCCGCCTTCGGGATCCGGCCCACGGCCCGCGCCGCGCCCCCGCCGCCCCGCGCTCGCGCCCACGAGTCTGCCCGCTTCCTGCGCCCGGCGCGGCCCCGCGTGAGCCTTCGCCGCCAGGCGCTCGGTTCCCGGGGCCGGAGGGGGCGCACGGCTCCGCGCTGTCCGTCCTCTGGCCCCGGTGCCCGCCAGTGGGGTGGATGGGTGGTCGCCGCGAGAAGTTTCCAGTGTCGGATTCCTGTGAAATGACGACGGCTCACCAGCTCCTGTTTCTCTCCTCTCTCCATCCTCCCTTCGGTTCCTCACTGCTCGGAAGGCCAAAAAGACAAGCGAAACCTGCTGCAGACGAAGGCTTTTGGGATTGTAGCGTCTGCACCTTCAGGAACAGCGCCGAAGCCTTTAAATGCAGCATCTGCGACGTGCGGAAAGGCACCTCCACCAGGTACTGGAAGGCCAATGTGTTATAGCTTTTGTTGAAAGACTTGTTTGGGCTTTATCTGTTGTGCGGAGGAGAGGGGAGTACTTTATTATTATTGATCGCCCTCTTGCCAACTTGTTGATTACGACCTTTTTTTTTTTTTTTTGCGTTTGGGGGTGGGGGATGTGGTAGGGTTGCTTGCCATTTCAAGTTGGGTGCAGTGTCTCGTGCTAAAATACAGGATTTATGGGAGGGAATTTCCCCATGTTTTTCGTCGTGTTTCAGACAGACACTGCATTTATTTGACACTTGCATCCCTTAGCTTGTGTTGGTATTGGCTCCCAAAGGGGAGAGAGGAAGTGGGGATACTGCTGTGGGTTGTAATACATTAGACCTTTTTGTTTTTGCCATGTGCAGAGTGGTTTTAATTTGTCCGGGATTAGTTTTTTCCTGAGTTTGATGGTGTTATGGTAGTACAATAAGGCTCGGTTGTGCCTTTTTTTTCCCCTTGAGTTGCAAATGTCCCTTCTTTTTTGCACTTGAAGATAAATATTGGAGGGTTGGAAAGTGTATAGGGGGGTGCTGATGTGTCTCTTTGTTATTAGCTTATTTAGAATGGTAAAGAAGTGTGTGAAATGTTGAGGTGAATAGAGCTTTAAAGTTTGTGTAATGATGTATTAAAACATTGAAAGGGTTTCTTTTATATTGAGATGAGAGTGGTTAATTGCACATGATAGCAAATGAGTTGGAACTCTACTAATAGTGTAAAAACTGATAGTCTTCCAGGTGTCTTACCCTTTATTTGTGATTTCTGTTGCTAAGCGTTTAGGTTACTGTGTTCTTGCTCTCCTTTAAGGGGACTGTCTTTAGAGCACATGTGAAAGTGAGAGTGAGGTTAGAACCTTTCAGGAGTCGAGGTTGATGACCAAAAGTTTCATTTCAGCAGGTGCTTGCTTTTGAGTGGATGGCATCCCATTGTGACTGTAGTTCCACCTGGATGTTGAATGATGTGTCCTGTCAGGGTCTCTTTGCTGTACTTTCACTTGGGATTAAGGAGTTCTGGCTGCAAGTCTGTAACTAGAATGAATTGCCCCAGTTACTGTGGACTGTTTTTTAATTTAACTGACTCCTAAGAAATGAGGTTTTTGAATCAAAACTCAAGAACTGAAATTTACTTGCCTGTAAGATAGCATCTCACGATGTTTGGAGCTAATCTGAAAAGGCAATCCTGTTGCCTCAGTCTCTTGAGTGCTGGGATTGTAGCCCTTTCCACCACACCCAGCTAGTAGTTTTTTTTTTTTTTTTTTTAAGTAAATTAATGTCAAATTTTTGTATCATAATAGATTTAGCCAAATGGAAAACCCATTTCTGTGGGTTTTGTTCTGTCAAAAATCGGGGATTCCATCAGGCAGCGGCAAAGTCTAGAAATGTATTTGTTACTTAAATCAATAGTAACTGTGTATTATTTATGAGTAATGTTTTTTACATGTAGAATCCCTCTGAGGCCAAAGCTCTTTATTGTGGTTTTGCTTTGAGTGTTACTGTAGATGATGTTCAAGTAAATGACCAGGAAACTAGTAAGAACTTGAGAACCATGCTGGTAAACAGAAACCAGCCAGATTCAAAAGTTTACTTCTGATGTATTGCTGGGAATAATCATCTCATATTGAAATACTTTCCAATTTCTACTTTTATTGAAAAGCCTGACTCACCAACTTTTTGGAAACACGTGAACGGTGTTGACTTTAAGTTTTATCTAAGTTTTCAGATCCACAGATGATGATAGAAATTATAGGACATTTGAGTCTGCCACTTCACAAATGAATAAAGTGCTGTCTTTCAGGGATTTCATGCAGTTGAGTCATTCTGTAGGTTTTGAAGACAGATTTTGCCTTTAAAATGCTAGTCATGATACTCTTTGGACAGAGCTTGTTTGCATTTGGTTGTTATTAATACTTCAGTGTTTGAGATGTATTCAGAAGTCATTAAGTGGAATGCAAGTAACAGTTTTGGGTCTGTGTTACTCAAGGGTTTCATGAATAAGAAACAAATATGACCAGTGTTCTGCTCTCTGAGCCAGTGTATCCCTTGATTTCTCTGGGATATTATATTGGTTATTACAATATTTTTCTCTTGAACTTTTGCTTGTAGATAGTTTTGTACTTCCAAGATTTCATAGGATCTTGCCATTTTCTCTCTTTCATAGTATTAATCAGGTGGCAGTAGAAAATTTAATTTGGGCGGCGGTGGTGGTGTACGCCTTTAATACCAGCACTTGGAAGGCAGAGGTAGGCAGATCTCTATACATTCAAGGCCAGCCTGGTCTACAGATCTAGTTTCAGGTCAGGCTCCAAAGCTACACAGAGAAACCCTGTCTCAAAAACAAACAAAAAACTCAATTTGGTTTTGGTCTGGTTTTGCATACTGGGCATTAAAGTCAGGTGTACAGAAACTTCAACTCAGCCTGGTGTTGGGGCTTGGATGGTAGGTAATAGATGAAAATTGGCAATTAGTGTTTGCTGACACACATGGTTTTGTTGCTCTGAGCTAGTGTTTAAACAGCCTGATCTGGTTAGCTGGCCAGTAGTTACTGTGGAGTTGTTAATTATGCTTGTCTTTTTGCTGCTGGCATCAACCAGTCAACCCAGGAAAAAGCTTTAAATTAGTGGTAGTCCAATAAGACACGGTGCCTTTGTGGATAGGGTTGATATCACTCATTTAATTTAAGTAGGACAATACTTACCATCATCAAAAAAGAGCATTTATGAAGTTCCTATGATGTGAAAGAAGCAGCTGAAGGGATGGGGAAGTGTTAAAAGGATTGTAGAACGTGCACCCAGGTAAACTAAGCCAAGCTGTAGAGACTGCCAAAGGTGTGTAAACTGGGATTGGAACAGCCTGGCTTGGGAATCAACTAGAAGGAACCCTTCCCCCCATTTCTTTAGAAGGAAAACTGATTTCTACAAAATCAGCTGCCAGCTTTTCTGTTGCAATGTGCAGTAGCATTTTTAACTCTGTAGGTAGATAGCATAGGGATTTTCTGGAGTGGCATAGAGCAGAGTGAAAGGCACAGTCAGAAAAACTCCAAGGGAAAAGGAGTAGACACTGACTAATCTAGTGGGATGGTCTGGGAGAAGACCTCCTTATACATTTCTTCATTTTTTATTTATGAATGGTCCTGCTGGGCTAAGTTCTGTATTTAGAGATAGTTCTTTGGGTCTGTAACACTTTTCTTTTTTTTTAAATAATTAGTTTATTTTTATTTTATGTGCATTGGTGTTTTGCCTGCATGTATGTCTGTGTGAGAGTGTCAGATCTTGTAGATCAGGAGTTACAGACAGTTGTGAGAACTGCCATGTGGGTGCTGGGAATTGAACCTGGGTCCTCTGGAAGAGCAGCCAATGCTTTTAACCACTGAGCCATCTCTCTAGCCTCATTAATCTGTTATTCTTTTGAGATAGACTCTAGAATGGCCTGTAACTGACTACATAGCCTGGGCAGACTTTGAACTTCTTGGCCCTTTCTTGCTAGTCTAGAGAGTTTGTGTATTACAGCTGTGTGCCATTAAAATCTGGTCTTTCGTCTATAATTTCTTTCTTGCATTCTTGATTTTTTTAAAAGTATTTTTTATTTTTAATTATGTTCGTTGTGCATGTATTTCCCAGACCAGTTGGAGTTACAGGTGGTTGTTAGCTGCCTGATATAGATGCTGGGAATTGAACCCTGGTCCTCTGAAAACATTAAGTGCTTTTAACCACTGAATGAACTCCAGTTTGTGATTTTTTTTTTTTTTTTAAAGAGCTTTATTGGAGGTATACTTTTACGTATCATAACATTCACTCATCATGAGTGCAGTTACGTGATTTTTCTAAAGTCATTTGAAAGAGTGCAGTTGTCACCAACATTCCAAGTTTTAGAACATTGTAAAAATGTCAGTTGGTTTCCTCTTTTCACATTCATTGATACAAATCAAGATTAACAGTGGAGCCTAAAGTGGTTGTGGACTGCTGGAAGATTACCTCCCCACCATGGTGGTACACCCAGCTTGCAAAGATGAGAAGATGAAGGAGCATTTTTGTATGTATAAGATGGCAGGTGTGTGAGAGAGAAACATGATCCCTTTCTTGTAACTTGAAGTATTTCTTGTCATCCTGCTCTGTTAATGAAAGAGGGAAGAAAGAGTAAAGCATTACAAGCCGGATGGTGGCGCTCGCCTTTAGTCCTAGCCTATGCAGAGGCAGGTGGATCTCTGAGTGAGTTCGAGGCCAGCCTGGTCTACAAGAGCTAGTTCCAGGACAGCTTCCAAAACCATAGAGAAACCCTGTCTTGGAAGACACCCCCCCCCAAAAAAAAAAAGAGTAAAGCATTAAGACTGCATGAACTTACATAATTCTTTGTGCTGCTGGTTTGTGTTGGACAGAATAACTTCCTAGACCTTGATTTTTTCTCCAAAGTAGTCTCTTTTGAAGTAGAACAGCATTGCTGTATCTTATATTTTCGTCTTTGATAGTTTCTTTGCTAATAGTGTTACTACATCTTTTTCTTTAGCTATTTAAAAGTCAATCGAGTAATTAATTGGAAATGTTTTGGATCAGTTACTATAGATTTAGAGCTTCATTGTTTTCATCTCCAGATTTTTAACATTCCTTTTTTGTGTGCACACTCCGTGGTAGATGTGGAAGTGAGAGGATAACTTGGACAAGTTGGATTCTTTCCACTCTACCTGTCCTGGCTATCTGCAAAGTTTATGCATATCCCTGTCAACCTTTTGTTTGTTTTTTTCCAGACAGGGTTTCCCTGTGTAGCCCTGGCTGTCCTGGAACTCACTGTTGTAGACTTCACTGGCCCCGAACTCTGCCTCTCTCCACCTTCCTAGTTCTGGGACAAACTTCCCAGCATCCCTGTCATCTTTATCATATGCCGTATCTTATCTCAATGTTGAATTGAAAATCTTATTTAATCCCTGGTTAGTTAACTACTGTGAAAAGTTTACTGTTTTTTTTTTTTTTTTTTTTTTTTTTTTT